TTCGCAGCCACATCTGGTAGCACGGAGCAGCAGCTTTCCTCAGAAGTKCCTTCAAACAAGGAGTCCGATTACTGCCTTCCCTGGGAGAAGATAAATCTGCCCACGTTTCTTAAGATTATGTAATGTTCTCTCTTTCTAACACATGGATAAGGCCCAGAACACAGACACACATTTCCTAAGAGGGCTTCCTGGGGCAGAAATGGCTATTTGGGCTTTTCCTAYCGTTGTTCGCGGCAGCACTTAGTGATCTAGCAAGGGGTAAATTTATGGCTCTCCATTTGCCTTCTCCTGTCAGAATGTACAGGAGCCAGTTTGGAAACCCGTGACATGGAACACCTAAAGAGGTGAGGGAAGATGAGCTCAGGCTTTTTGGCTGGGAAACAGTGCTTGTGGTCCAAATGAATAGCCCATTAAAACATCTTGCCTAAATGGAGGATCAAAACCTAAAGAGCTTCTCAAATTCAAGTGGCCAGGTGCTAACAGAGCACGTCATGCTCTGGCTGTACTGCCAACACCTCTTYCTCCTCACCATAAAATCTCCCAGGCTTTGGGAAATAGAAGCCACTTTGAGGTCATTCTCAGACAACAACTCAGTGTTAAGCAGCACATTGAATAGCAAAAGGGCTGGGAACTCGGGGCCTCACAGCACCAGAGCCTTGCTGAGGAACAACAGGGATGAGTTGGAGTATCCATGCGGGYCCAATGGACTTTTCCTGGTCCTTGCTAACCCTGTGCTGTTCCCTCTCCCAATTCCTGTTCTTTCTCCCTCCTCCTTCCCTGTTGGGCAAGAGGGCAAAGCCCCACATCTGTCTGTCCCTACCCACCAAARGTCATCCCTTCATCTCCCTCAACCACAGGACCTCCTGTGCAGTATTTACCACTTGCTCCCAGGGACGTGGTTGGCAACGGGAATGGTGAAAGTTGATGGAAAAAGGTTGGCTGAGACCAACCTTCTGATGCTGCACAGTAAAAGCATGGGGAATCTGTTGTTTGCTGGCCATAAATAAACTGTGGCTGTGAAAAACGCAGCAAGTTCCTATACACTGCAGTTGGCTATTCGTGTCAGCATCAATTCATGTCTTGTTAGAAACATTTCTCAATCTGTGCTAGACACAGAGAGCTGCTGCTCTGAGGAAATGCAATAGGAAGGAGAAAAATGGGTGTATTGTATAAAGAAACAAATCGGACCTGTCAGAATCTAAAATTGGGCCAAAAGGTTACCAGCCCTTTGGATATATAGCAAACACCCTGCCTCTGAAGGCAGGTTCAAAGAGTTCAGAAGCGTGTGAGCAAGCCAGAAGTGCTTTTAATACTGCACGCAATCTGAGCTTCTTGGAGCCAAATACAGAACATCTATAGAGGTTCAATAAATTAAAAGCACAGACACGTCTCACAGTTGTTAAGAGTGGTCCCCCTTGGCCTTGCTCTCTTCCCAGCAACTTTGCAAGGCTTCACATTTTGCTTCAATGTGATCCAAGTCTCAAGAGTGCTGGGAAGGGCTTCCTGCAGGAGCTTCCAACACCCAACATGAGGGTCTGGAATAAACCTTAGACTCACAGTCCATGCACCCCAAGGAGGCTGACCTGCACTTTAAGTGAATAATTAACTCAGCATGTTATCCACTAGCAGAAAATAGATTATTCCCTGCGGGGATTTTATGCTCTTGGACAAGTTCCCATGACACAATGGAGTAACCAGGGGGTTTCAGCAGCCTGATGAGGTCCACGAGGTCCTTTTTTTTTTGTAGCACACGCAGCCCTTGGAGCAGAGCACGCTCACGTCTCAGGACAGCTTTCCACCTTCCCTATGTCCTGCCTGGCAAAGTAAAAGAGCTGACATAGGAAATTCAGATTTAAATGAGCTGGCCTGAATTCTGCCAGCATCTGACTGCAGCAGCGTGACGGAGCTCGGTGTCAGCCAGACTCTCGAGGAGCTGCACGGCTTCCTGGGCTGCTTCTGCAGACCCTGCAGAGCTCTGTGTTGGGCTCCTGGAAAGAACTGAAACCCACTGGCTTCAAACTACCCAAGGTCAAAGACATAGACACGAGCATGGTGGTTTGGACATAYTTGACCTAAGCGACCTTGCTCACAGTGCTGAAGAACTGTTACTCCTTACCACGCTGCCATTGTTTTTCTGTCCACTGAGGGACTGTGTGTTGTTGTCACTCACCACTTAATTAAACCGCAGTCTCTACAGGATACCGTTTACTGCTTGCAATTTATCTCGGCATCGGTGGCATGAGGTAAAAACACCCATCCTTCAACTGCCCTTGAGTTTCCACAGCCCTTCCAAACTTTGCCTATTCAAATGTGCCGGAGCTGTAAAACCAACCCCAAAGTACAGCCTTGGTGCCGCATGAGGTAAACTCAGGCTCTGGGGTGGGTGCAAAGTGGCCCCAGAACTGGGGCAGGAACATGACTGCACTTCTGTCACATTAATCAGAGCAGCTGCTACAGAATTCACAGGAGCTTTGAGCTCACGGGGGAAGAGGGACAAGAGCTGATCTCACAGAGTCAGAACAAGGTGCCCACTTGCCCCCCATCAAAATATTTCTGAGCAAATTTCAAGAAATTTGAATGGTAACTTCACAGCAGATTCACATTTGGCATCACGAAGCTACTGCAGTTTTAATGTAGTAGGAGCCTTAGGGCCGGGCTCGCTGCTCTGTCAAACTGTAGCCTCAGAAAGCAAGGAAAAGCTGGAAAGCAAAAGGCTTCCTTAGCTCTKTAAGATGCTCATTGCAAAGGAGGAACAAAAGAAAAATAAAGAAACTCTGCAGCCTAAATATTTGTTGTGAGTTCTTTTCCCAGTGACTCCAGTAGAATTCCCCAGATATCTCACCATCACTTCAGTGCTTGTGTTTGGGGACCTCACAGCAACTGWGGCTCCCAACAGGCTGTAACATTTTGTCCCTTACATGTACACGAAGACTTATTTGTGKTTTCTGAACCTTTTATGGCATTCAGAAGAAAAACCTTCTCTGCATGCTCTAATTGTTTCTAAAAGCCACCAGATCTGCCTCTTCTTCTGAAGAAATATGGATGTGCTAGATTCGCACAGCGTCTGCCAGACCTCATCATTCACCAGCTCCCTCTTAGCATCATTCATCTCTTCGCTGATGGGAGCTATTGCTGCTCTGTGTCTGAATTCTTTGCACCACGCTGGATACAACCAGGATCTCTCAAGTGACATGGCCCCATGTTGTCTGTGCCATATACAGTTGCACAGTCAACTGAAAACATTTCGCGTTTTCCAGTGTCTGAGGCCTTCTTGCCATGTGAAACATGCACASGCTGGGCTCCAAGGAAGACAGGCTGTCAAATACGTGCTGGATAGAACCACCTCCCCCTCTCTTTTTGGTATTTGCCCCATGCCAGTGCAGGCAAGAGCTCATCTGAARGTGAGATATTGGGGTGCTCAAAGAATATGGAGCAGAGCATCCATTGCCAAGTTGCATCAGCCTGGAAGGACTCAGAAACCACATGCTCCCCTGGCAGTGTGTGAAAGCAAGGGGACAAATTCTGGTCCAAATAGTGCTCTGTTGCTTCTGTATATCTGTATATCTGTATATCAAAGATCTGTATATCAAAGGTATCAGTGTGAGACAACAGTCTGGGCAGTTTGATTTGGTACCAACCTCCTTTCCATGCTGCTCTCCTTGTTACATACATCTGCTTTACATTAGGCCCTTTGATGGGAAACTCAGTTCAAGTCAGATGTGTTTAGTTTTATCAGCTGCTTTGCCATCAACTTCTCTCACCTTTCKCACAAGGGATGCAAAAAGGGAAATTGATATTTAAGGGTCTCCTGGAAAGCACTACTGGKCACTGTATAAACTTCTGACTTCCAAGTATTACACTAAATAATCACATACAAGCCAGACTTTGTGAATCATTTGGTACRATTACATGAGTCCTGCACAAAACATATTCCACCCATCAGAAAAATGCCACACAGATGGACATTAACTGCAGYTCTGTGCCCAGACATGATTAAAAGATAGTAAGGATCCTGGAGATGAAGGCRCAGATACGATGTTGAGGTTGGATAACACCAGTCTGCCCACTGCTGTGCTCTCATCCAAAGACCTCGCTCACCACATCACAAGAGCTAAATTCACACACTCTTAGATTATGCTTTGCTTTGTTTTGATTAATTGGTTAAGCAGGCATTAAACTGCTTAGCATTCAGCAGGACCGCCTGCAGGGGTACCCAACCTCTGCCTCCATGCGATTTTCCATTGTGACTCTTTCCTAATTAAGAAAGAAAAGCTCTGGGTGCCCCCACTGAAGATAAAGCTCCAGTAAATGCCTGCGCGGAGCAAGGCAGCCTYGTCCAGATGGGTCGAGTGAGGGGGAGGAGAGGGCTCCTGCGCACTGCCCTGGCTCCGATATCACTGGCCAAACACACTCACTTACGCACTCCTGCCAGGGAAGAATTACTCATCTCRGTTACTTCACAAAACTGTCATGTTTCACTGTCACTGCTAAGCTGTGGCTAGATGGTTTTCAAGACCAACGTCTTCTTCTAATATTTCGGCTGTTTGCAGAGCTCACTGTGCACCCTGAGAATGTCCAAGTCGTGGTGCTGCTGAATAGGCAATTGCTCTCCCAAATTTCTGTCAGTATAGCCCTACTTGGCAGAAACACGACTGGGACCTTTGTCTCACTCTTCTATCACCCACAAGCCTTGCAGCATGTCTTTCAGAAGAGCTGCCACGCAAGAACAGTGACATTTGGCAAGAGGCAGCTTTATCCAGTGTTATGGGCTTATTTACATATGTCTGTACCTGGCTGAGAAACCTGAGCAACAGACTTGATCAAGTAAACACGTACAAAGCATGAGTCAGTGCATGCAGGCTCTTAATAACCAACATCTGCGACCTGCACAAATGAGTCACAGCAGTCAAATCACATGATACAAAGACTTAGCAAAAAGGCAATGGTAAAATGCTAAGCTGCCGGAAATAACGCTGATAAGCAGCACAAAACAGTCTTACCACAGAGCAAGTCTTTGCTCAATTTCCTTGAGAAAACCAGCATGAAACTTGTGCAAAGGTTCGAAGTTGGAGAAAATGAGATTCTTCAGTGTATCGGGCATGCAATCCTCTTTATTCACTGCACTCTGAAACCACTACAAATGAAGAAAAAAAAAAAAACCAAAAAGCAAAGTTATCAAGGGCATACAATGCAGCAGGTATGATTATTTGTTGTCTTTACACACGAAACACATACATGTCTTGCACTTATACATTTAACCCAGGAAGCATCTGTTTAGTTGGTACTAAGAGTGTAACTCAGGCTCCTCTTGACAGTCTCGTGTACTGAAATGGTGTCTTGGTCTAGTCCTGCTTGGCTGAAAAAGAAACTCCCTTCCTCACTCTTACTGTTGATAAAACCCTGAAAATTCTTTTCAAGCCCGAACTGCTTCGTCAGTTCAGACTGAATTCACCAATATTTCAAGTGTAAGAAGAAAATGCAGGGTTTCAGTCAAAACAAAAAAAGATTTTCTGCATTTGCATTGCCTACTGCTATCTGAAATCCCCTTGGCAAGAGCTGGTACAGTAAATACTCAAGCCCATGTTGCTGTGAGTGGACAAAGAGCTACTGTCTCACACAGCCTGGCTCTTTTTTATTGCCTGGCTTCCCCAGAAAGTCTGAAATAGTCAGCCATGAAGCCACAGCTATCTCAACTGCATCTCCCATGTGGCCTCCTGGAACAAAACAGGGCCTGTGGAGAAGGTGTCTTTCGCTGGTGGCTACAACAGGCTCTTCCCTGCATCATGTCTCCTTATCACACTACTCAATGCAGGAGGAGGCAATGCACCCTGAATGCACAGCCCTGGCAACGTTTCATGCATTAAAAAAGCATTAAAGAGCTGGGAGGTCTACAACCAGTTGCACTGCTGAAACACAATGAGAGATCTTGGATCCAGTGCCCTCTTACAGGGCAAATTTAAGGCCAAATCTTGCACACGTTATGCTTCAAAATCAAAATGGACTGTTGCTGCATGTGAAAAGAAAGCATAGACCTCTCTTGGCTGTTTTAGGAACCATCATGCTCTGAATAGGTAGTAAGATACTGTAATATAGTGAGTTCCTTAAGAGTTCAACTTCATACGTTAAGCAGAATCATTCAAACAGGTGCTATGACAATATTTCATGTTGGAGAACATTTGAGTCAGGGAAAAAATTCATAGCTCCTCTAGGCAGCAACTTCAGTTTTAAGAGAATCATTGAAAACCCACAGGTATTTTTAATAATTGCAACCACAAAGCATGAGAGAGAAGAAAGAATAACTGAACTGTGTTTTAAGTTCCTCAACCTGAAATAGTTTTGTAGTGCACATTACTAACCACAGTGCAAATTTCTGCTTTCTGATTCTTGTGTTCCTCCCTCCCTAGAGCTGTACTCCTGTGCATCGCAGAGAATACCTTAAGTGCAGAATATAAAAAAAGTTGCATGGCACACTAAGATGTTAAATGGAGCAGATAAAATGCTACTGCTGACTAGAGCATCATGTTTCATGAATAATGCTCAGGGAAACATACCGAYGTGATGACTTCAAGGTCCTTCAGGTATGTGCGTTCTGTGGTTGCRACTTCTTTAGCAATGAAGTAAGCCTTCTCAGTTGGGAATCTCTGCAAATGGCAAACACATTAGGTTTTCACCTGCTTTTCTGGAGCTGCCTTCTGCAGAAAAAAATGCAGACAGCGATCACAAGATAGCTACAAGTTAGTGACCYTTGCTCGTGATTATGGTGACTCATGCTTTAATGTTTCAAAGCCCTGAGAACAATCTTTCCTTGCAAACAGAAGACAGAAAACACTTTCTATGGATTCTTGAGAGATTCCTTTCCGCCAAGGTTATTTCCACAGCTCTAGGGTGCTGATGTTCCTTTAGCCTTACTCTATGCTTCTGGAGTGGGGCATATTCTGATGATCAGGAAGAAATTCCTTGCCGTTAACCATTACCATTAACCCTTGCTAGCAATTAGTGTGTGATTCTTAGGGGTTCCATTGGAACTTTTGGAACTTGGAACATTCTTAAAAGGCCTACAGCAAAATACTTTCAAAAAAGACAAACAAGTTTTTCCCAGTGCAGCTGAACRACCTAGCAATGGGTCAGGATAACAATCTACCTGTGTTATCCAAGAGGCAAAGTCATTAGCAGTTTTAACCTCTTAATTCCAAACAGCCAAAAGATCCCAATGATCTTGGTCTTGGTGTTGTTGAGGAAGCACAAAACAGGAGCAACACAGCCACAGATCTTTCGCTTCTCTGTTTCCTCCCTCAAAGTCATCAGTGAAGAGGATGCACTGGAAAGGCATGTGGGGAAAGACTGTGGGAGCATTTCAGTGTSCAGCCCCACGGGAGCCACCATCAGCTGGTGCGAGCTACACACATCACTGGGCTGCTCTTAGACTGGCACAGAGAACTTCAAGTCTGTTAAGTGACCCTTGGCTTTTCTTCTTCCCCAGTTTTGCTCACAAACTTCTCACTAGGCATAGTAGGGAAGCAGAAATTCCCACACTTTCTCTCTTCCTTTCCTACCTTTCCTTCTTTTCCTTCTCATGTGCTCCCAGCTCAGGAAAGCGGACAACATGGGCACAAGAGCAAGACCCTCTTGCCCTGCAGCACAGCAGGCAGCCAGCRAGGGAGGCTGCTGGGCTGCTGCAGGAGGGACGAGCCAGCCCAAGCCCAGGACACCTTGGCTCAGAGTCACTTCTGTCTTCGAGAACCAGTTTTGAATTTGATGCTCCCCTGTGGCTGCGCTGCAAGGATGGGGCTGAGTCAAGTATTTGCAGCTGAACACTGAGGGTTGTGGCTCAGGAGAAGCATTTTTACACCCACAACCATGTGCAAGTGGTGCTCCCAGCAGAGGATGCCTGCAGAGCTGGGGTTGGACACTCCTGCACCAAGCTCAAGCTGTCTCTTTCCTCCTTTGTCACCTGGAAATTCTCCATCCAGTAATGTACTGGAGCCGAGGCTTTTCTTAACGCAAATTACTAAAACCCGTCTCCTTAAAAACATGCTAGCTTTATAAATAGAAACCATGTCAAAACAAGCTCTTGAAGCTGCAGCCAAAAAGACTGGCCAAGGTTTTTTTTCCACAGTAACTTCAGAGACATGGAGCTACTCAGCATCTCTCTACTGCTTAGAGAAGGGCACTGGGGTGCCCACCTCTCTGTTCAGTAGGATGAATCTAGGGCACTGAATCCTCACCTACAGCCAATTCATAGTTCTGGCCTGATCCAACCTGAACTGCATGAGTTCTGCCACTGGAGTTCATGGATACTCTTGGTCACTACATGGGAGACATTGGCAGATGCCAAGTGACCCCAGTCCAGTTATTTGTTGGACCTMCAGTGAGGAAGCAGCAGGGCTCTAGATACTAATCCCTTGACAAAGAGCTGCAATCACAACACAACATGGAGAAGAGAGCCAAGGCCAGCTGTTTTACCTTTCTTTTGACCTCTTCCTCATCATCAGTCCGGATGCATGCCGGGTCATTCAGCAAAGGGCTGATGAGGGGAGACGCCTGCTTGGCATCAGGGCTCAGATTTGGAGATARGGACATATTTGCCACGGATGGTCCTCCCTGGGAATTGATGGAAAGCTCTGAAAGGTGAGGGCTACCAGTCAGAGAACCTGCTAAAGAAATGAAAAGACAGAAAACCCAGTTAGGGCAGGTTTTCTCCAGAAGGTACCAGAAGTTACAATCTTAAATTGCAGCATGGGAAATTACGCTACAAGATACAGTCATCAGGGTCCTCAAACTAGTCCAAATGGACTCTAAATCAGAGGAGATGCATCCACTTGCATTAACCAAGGGACCAAAGCAGTCTTTTAGCTAATGAAACTGGCTGGAATTAGTGTCTCTATGAGGTGTGAAGCTATAAATGACTGTGCTGCAAAGACTGACTGCTAAACACCAAATTCCTGCCAAATTTTTCAACAGTGTTATCCAATCTAAGAAACTGAAGAACAGTTTCTTCAGTTTTAGAAGCAGTATTCAATACAATAAATAAAATAATGGAGCCACCCTAGGAGCACCATTCTTTCTAGCAAAGCACATCACTGAAGACTCAAATCAGCTTAAATACTTCATTGGAAACGACAGGATACACGTTAGAACACATATATCTAGTGGAAGGTTACAGAAAAAGAAACAAGGACTTTCTATGGCAGTGTTGCTCCTAAGTAACAACAGTCATATCTAACACGAAGGGAGAAAACTACTCTCTCCCCAATTTCTACACACAACAGAAGTATGCATATTATACCTTGTAGGTCTTTCCATGCTCCTCTGATTGTTTGGGATGGAAATGCTAGCATTACATTTACATAAGAAAAGCAATATTTTTAATGCAGAAAGCATGACAATTTTAGATTATCACAGATATAAAGCCCCATTTAATTTTGGATTAAAAAAATACAATTAATGACACTTCCATGGGTTCATATACACTACATTAAATAACATCAAAATCAGCGTTTTGTCTTTTGGCAGGCAGCCAGACTACGGACTGCACAAAGGAAGGAGTTTGCCAAAACTGCACTGTCCTCCCAACTGTCCCCTCCTCCAAACCTATGAAAATTTGAGCCTTTTCTTTTAAACTTGAAACTAGATCTTTCATGTAGAAAAACATTACAGTCTGTTTTGTTTTGGCATCATACCTTAAAATCCAGCAAAAAAMCCCATGACAAGCTCTTAGTTGCCACAGCTAATAGGCTGTCTCGGACTAAAGGTAAAACACATACATCACCATATATACTTAAGGTCAAATACATACTACTATGATGTGTTTATATCCTCGCTAGATTATATTAGTTAAGTGTTCCTGTAACTACAACCCAGCTGAGACACTCCAGTAAACAGAGGCACCAATAAATATAATTAGGCCAGCAGTAAAACCTATTTATTTTCTGGAAGAACTCAGATTTATTGCTAGAACATGAATGTTTTCCAATTCCAAATCAGTCCATGTTTATATATCATTGCTTTGAAAAGAGAAAGAAAAAACAATACAGTTATTAGTTTACGTAATCATGACAGTTATGTAGCCTATTATAAATCAAAGTCAAAGCAGTATTTGTCTTGGAAGTTCTGTATTATTACAGCTAGCAAGAAAGGATTTACCAACAGTTTCACACTAAATCAATGTTCAGTGAAATCGGAGAAAATGCCACAGCTTGTTACACAAATGTCAATTTTATTGACACTAGCACACAACTGCATACAGTGTTTTCAAAAGAAAAGGAATTTGTCATTGAGAAATAGTAAAACAGGTTAATAGCAAGGTTGTAAAGTTAAAAGGACTACACTCTGCATTACAAAAGACATAAGAAAAGTGGTATTACCTCAAATGTGGAAACAAAGAAATTCTGGCACTATGCCTGTCATATGACAGCAAGTAAATGGTTTGCACCTCTGTGAGAAGTTCACAGGCATTATATTCTAGAAGTTATATAGCACCTATCTGTGATAGATAGATATAAGTTGACATACCTACCCACCTACTGACAAACCTAGATCTAACTAACTTCTGAAATACACGATTTTTTCTCAGTACACCTTGAGTAGTTCAAACTACAAAATATCAAATGAACAATGAATTAAAAAGACTTCCTAATCTACACTTGGAAGACAAGACTTGGGAAAAGTACCATCATTAAAATACTTGCCTGGCGGCTCACAGCTTTTAGGATACAACCCATCAATTAAAGACTTGCACACCAATACATCACTGACATTCTCAAAGTTATTTTGCAGCAAGTTAAAATGCTACATTTCGGTATCAACTTGGAAATGAGCAGCAGGACCAAATCCAACCACAACACCTAGAAGCAAGAGCTCTGCTAAGACTACTGGAAACCTCACAGGAATAACAATGTGCTGAACAACTGAAAATTAAAGCTAGGTATAAGAAAGTGGCTATACTGTAAAAGCACCCCAAGATGCTTTCAGSTGATTAGCAGATTTTGGGGCCTAATTACAACCAACACAGCCATAAGATACATGAGATGTCATTATGGTTAAGGTGGGAAAACTGACTTGTTCTGCTATGAGAAAGCCAATAGGTCACGAAGAAATGAAAGCTCTTGGTGGAGAGAAAGTGTTCTTGGTTCTTGGTGGAGAGAAAGTGTTCTTCTCTCCACCATCACCAATCAGTCAGGACATGTATCATGCTGATGGACCATGACAAGTGTTGCAATATGACTTTCTCTTTTTGTCTTTTTCTCTYTTTTTTTTCTTTTTCTCTTTTTCATGGCAGTGAGGAACAAATAACTTACATAAACCAAACGGGCCTTTCTCTGACCTCTTGCCAAGTGAGTGTATTCACATAGGCTCTACACATCAACTAAATACTGCAGAATATAATCAGGAGCAGAAGGGAGAACAACTTTATTTACAAGCTCCTGAAATTGCTCACATTTTACCCTAGAGGATTCCTTGATTGACAGCAAATTATTAACATGTCTGTTGTTAGATGTCGAGTGGCGCTGCATGGCACACTGCAGGCTGAAAGGGTTTGCAGCTGGTGAAAGGAATAGTCCTGGCTTRTATTCCAGCTAGTTCCCATTTAGACTTAGACTTAAAATGGGGGCCTATCTTTCAAATATAATGGAGTTATCTATCTACATGGAGAGATCAGGCAAAAGCTGCTTACCCAAGGATTGTTCAAGCACAGAATAAAATGATATCCGTGGTGGAGGGGGCAGGAATTAAGTATGCATTTCAATTCTTTTTCTCAAGTTGGATTTAAGAAGAGAAACAAATAATCATCCATGACAGTGACAAATAATGAGATTGGACCTTATCACAGGATGTAGGATTAGCCCATCAATGCCAAAACATCTGTTTTGTTGCTTTGAGCTAGCTTACCATTAACATATCGGGAAAAAAACCTGCTGTGGTAAGGAAAGTTAATTTGAAATTAAAAGTTAATTAAAAGTTAATTTGAAAAACAAAAACAAAAAACCTAAGAAACAACAACGGGCTTTTAGACAGTCACAAAGCATGAAACTACAGCTTATTTGTCCTAGCTTCAGAAGTGTCTCAAATCAGTCCACATTGACTTACACTTCCCATGTGCTGAGGAACATGAAATCACTGGTTAAAATCAAATACTTAAGGGATATACTTCTGTAGAAACACCCATTGTGTCTCTGAGAGTAATTTGATAATGAGAATGCCCAGGCAGGGCAGCACATTGCAGGACATTGGTGCTGAGCTTGATGCCTACAGGGGCAAGCTTGGCCAGGGTGAACAAAATGGCTTTAAAATGTGTTCAGCACCAGGGAATAAAGAAGTGCTCATAGCTGTAATGTGTCAGTTGATGAAGAAAGTCCCTCCCAGAGGTCAATTCAAATCACAGGTGGGGCTACACAGCATGCTACCTGTTTGTTTATACTATGTAGACAGCCTTCTGAACTCCCAYACATGGAGGCTTCACCCTTAGCTCAGAAGAGCTCTCCTTTGTGAGGGTAAAGGGGGCTCAACATATCTTGAAAAAAAACTCCTCTTTTTCCCTCTTCTCCTGAAACTGAGGAGAAAGAAGCTTGTGCCATTTAGTGTTCTTCATCCACTCCCAGTGAACTGGAGTTCCCATCCCTACACATTGGCGCTAAACAGCAAGGAAGACTACAGCAGTGCTAAGATGCTCCYGGGATAGAAACATCAGCTGTTACGGAAAGATGCTGAAATTCGAACATTTGCCAGAAAACCTAAAGCCCTCACACAATCTCAACTGTTAGGGGCTATTTTATTGTCAAGGTTTACAGTTTCATTGTCAGAAAGTAAAAGGTGTTAAGTCAGAAAAGTGCCTTTCTCAGTACCTGGAACATTGCAGGACTCCTGGCTTGCTCCCTTTTGGGCCTGCTCCACAGCACYGGAGCACTGACTTAAGTCAGTGAAATTTTTGTCAAGTACTACAAGATACTAATCCCATCTATTCTTCTTACAGAGAAAATAAGTGTTTTCTACACTCCATTCTGGTAGTGAAACCCAAGCTCTTGGCCCTGTGTCCCTTGCATTAATGAGAACACCGCTCTTCTCATAGGAAAGCATCTGACAGAGCTGCCGCTGTTGTAGCCACAGACTAACATCTGGCTCGCTCTTCCATAGTCACATTGGTTGCATACCTCTACACTTTACATAAAATGTTTGCTCACAGACATAATACAGAACGACATGGGGACAAATAACACTGGGGTAAAGTGTCAGTAGTTTTTATAAGTACTTTTCAGATAACTGAAGAATCTTAGATTGGAAAGTTCAGTTAAGGGTGCCTCTTCTATCTCCCCAGCCATGAACCAGGCACAGTAGTGCTGCTGAACTAGCCAAGACTGTGGATGCTGATTCCCTTCTGCTTCCCTGGAACACAATGACAAACMCCCATTGACTTCCATGAGAGCTGGAGGGGGAGCAATTCATCAGGCTGCCCTTCTCTTCCCCATTAAACAAAGCAAGCTGTAGGGCTGGATGTAGCTTGCTAGGACGAAAGATCTTGACAAGCAGTTATGCATCAATCAGAAATACATGTAAAAACATCCCTGAATGCAGCGATCATTAATGTGATGAGGAAAAGGAAGGAAAAACATCTTGGGAAGAGATCCGATGTTGTACATAACCAGYAGCCCTGCCTGGC